ACTACTCAACAATAAAAAAACAATGACAGCATGAAATTTGCAGACAAATGGATGGAACAAGAAAATATGATCCTGAGTGAGGTAACCCAGACACAGAAGGACAAACATGGTATGTAATCACTCATAAGTGGATACTAGATATAAAACAAAGGATAACCAGACTAAAATCCATAGCTCCAAAGAAGCTACCTAACAAGGAGGACCTGAAGAGGGATGCATAGCTCATCCTGGGAAGGGGAAAGAGATGAGATCTCCATGAGTAAATTGAGAATGAAGGGTGGGCCATGGATGGTAGGGGATGGAGGATGAGAACATAAGGGAATGGGATAGTTGATCTGGAACAGGGATGGAGTGGGAGATCAATGAAAGAAATACCATGATAGAGGGAGATATCATAGGGATAGGGAGAAACTGGTGCTAGAAAAGTTCCCAGGAATCCCCAAGGATGACCCCAGCTTAGACTACTAGCAATAGTGGAGAGGCTGCCTGAACTGGCTTACCCCAGTAATCAGATTGGTAAATACATAATTGTCATCATCAAGCCTTTCTCTAGTAACTGATGGAAGCAGATGTAGAGATCCACAGCCAAACACCAGGCTGAGCTCCAGGAGTCCAGCTGAAGAGAGAGAAGAGGGATTCTATGAGCAAGGGCATCAAGATCATGATGGGGAAACCTACAGAGACAACCTAACCAAACTGGTGGGAACTCATGAAATTTACATCAACAGCTGTGGAGCCTGCATGGGATGGGACTAGGCCCTTTGCATAAGTGTGACAGTGTGTAGCTTCATTTTGCTTAAGGGCCCCCCTGGCAGTGGGATCAGAACCCATCCTTGGTGAATGAGCAGGCTTTTTGGAGCCCACTACCTATGGTGGGACCCCTCAAACAGTCTTGAGGCAGGGGGAGGTGTTTAGACCTTCCTCTACCAAATGTACCTCCCCAATGGGAGGCCTTACCTACTTGTAGGAAGAATGGGGGGTGGGTTATGAGAGAGAGGCTGGAGAGGTGGGAAGAGGGAAAAGGGGGATCTTTGATTGGTATGTAAAATTAATAAAAACAATTCTTAATAAAAAATTCAGGTGTGAACAAAGGAGAAAAAGACACATTTGAACACTGAATGTGCTTTCTGTTAAGAAGGTTGGTCTAAAGTATGGTAAGAATTCAGCACTGGGTAGTGTGGAGAAGGAAAACAAACTCCCACCATTTGAAAGGCTTTTATCTGGAAACTTAAAAGGTTTGTCTTATAGACAGAAAGAATGTCAAGATGAGAAAGATGTGAAAATATGCCCTTACTTAAATTTACTATGCTCACATTACCTTTTACTTATTAAATGTTTTGCAAGTAAAAAAAAAAAGTGCCACTTTACAAGAAGCACTGCTTGAGCAAACTGTGGAATACCCACATCCAAGTTGTCCTATTCTACCGCTTCTGAAGTGAAAGTAATTTCTTTGCACTGATATGGAAAATAAACTATTTGCCACTGGCTAACAAACCAATATGTAACTGTGTTTTGTTTTGTTTTGTTCTTGTGCTTCAATCATGGGTTTCATTAATCTTTTCTCTGAAACACTACACACTATACATGACTAACCTCAGAAAGTAGAAATTAAAATCATTTATATATAAACTTGTGTGCTTACACATATAAAACCAGGGTTTCTGTTGTATATTTGAGGCCAATCTGCTGACAGTCCCCACCACCCCAAGGAATTGAAAAAAATTGTCATTAAAAAAACAACAACCAAACAACCAAATAGCAGATGAGGCTGAGGACATGGCTCAGTTCATGGTGGGATGCTTGCCTGGCATGCACAAGGCAGGCCCACATAAACCAAGTGTGGTGGTACACCTATAATCCCAGTACTAAGGAGGTACACAGGAGGATCAAGAATTCAAGGTCCTCGGCTACATGTTTGAGGGCAGTCTGGAATAAATGAGCCAGTCTGAAAAACAAAAATAAAAAACTAGGTGCTGGAGAATGCCTCTTGTGCTGTGAACGAACACCAGAACCCAGAAAGAATGGTGGAATCCACCTCAAGGCTGCCTGGACAGCACCAACATGGGCCCATAGGATTCCCAGTGCTCCTTTGTTAACTTCAGCTTAGGCATTAGGCATTAATTAGGCATTAGGGACAAACACCCAGGGCCAGAATCCTGTTGCTGACTGGAGCAGTTTCCCTGACTCACTGACGGGCTGGCCTCTGAAAACCCATTGGCATGGGATGGCATCTATTCCCCTTAGGAAGGACATACAATGAAGAGACTTTTAGGAAATGAAAAACAGGGCCATGTCCTTAGTTCCTGGTTCTTGCTACTCTAACAAATTACATGCACAGTGGCTTCTTGTGGTTTTTAACCATCTGACAATTGTTGGTCACAACTCACTGGTCCCTCTGGGCTAGGTCAAGGTCAACAAAATTAAGTTCCTTTGTGGGTGCTCTGGCAGAAGTGTTGCACAGCTTCTAAAGGCTGCTCATGTTCCTGGCTTGTGGCCTTTTCCTTCCCAAGTGGCAGTCTGTGGCTTCCAAGTCTCTTCCACACTGACTCTTCTGCCACTTTCTGGTTAAGGAATTTTGTGAAGTGTGTACTCAGGTAATCCAGGATCTTATTTCAAATTCATCTGACTAGCAACCTTAATTCCATTCTGCCAAAAGGGTGAGGGTGCAGAGTGTTCTGCCTGCCACAACCTTAGTATGAAGCTTGCAGAGCTGAGTGCATCCCCTCCTCTAGGGGACAACTGTGTAGTCAGGAGATACTTTAGACAGGTCAGTCAGGGTGTAAAAAGGTAGCCTCAGGGGAAGGCCTCATGGACCCAAGTAGAGACTGCACAGAAATCAGCTCAAGAACAGAGTGGTAGGAACCATGAGATTTTGAGTGTCTGTGGACAAGGACATTTCTATGGAGTAACAGTAAGTGGTGAGAAATGCCTGAGAGAGAGACAGCCAAGTTCAAGGTCTATGTTGGGTCACTGACCTCCCACATTCACATGTGGACATCATACAGAAGACTGAAGTTCTGGGCAAGGGACAGGACATGGAAAGAAGAGGTAGGGCAGCTCAAGCCACTGTGCTGCCTAGACTCCTGGACAGGAGCCTAGTTAAAAGCAGCACAGCTGTTCAGTGCCCACACTTGCGAGAAGCTGAGATGAGGCTGGACTCCTCGAGGAGGCCTTACAGCCTTCTTTGCTTACAGACTCCAATTCTTGTTCATAGAGAAAGGTGAGCAAATGGAGCACCTAAGCCAGTGCCGAGACACCAAGCTACAAGTTCAAGTCCTTCAGCACATGTGGCAGGGAAGGGAAAGATCTGGCCCTCACATTTTGATGAGTTACCAAGGTGTGCATGGCATGAGATGGCAACCCATCTATCCTCTACCACCCAAGAGATGGCTATGTGCAAGTTTTTGATGAGCTAAGGCACGCTCAAACTGGAGTGTGACCTCTTGGGAACACGAACTACTGGAGTCACACAGCTAGTTCCCAGTGCTGGTTGATCAAGGCCAGAAGAAATTTATCTAAAGCAGTGATTCTCAAACTTTGTCATGCTGTGACCCTTCAGTACAGTTTCTCATGTTGTGATGACCCCCAACCACAGTTACTTTGTTGCTACTTCATAACTGTAAATTTGCTGTTATGAATTGTAAACGTAAATATCTGATATGAGAGGCATGTAGGGGTCATGACCCATAGATTGAAAAACACTGATCTAGAGGTTGATTCAAATTTGGAATTCTGCCCCCTGAGAATGAAGGTGGCCACTTTTTTGTATCTTGAGGTTAAATCTATGAAAGACTGAGGGAAGTGGCTAGTCTTTGCTAGCAGACATATCTGTAGGATGTGACATGGCCCATGCCGACGGGTGGGGCAGGGTGGAGTAGAGGCAACTGCTTCAGGCAGTCTCACCATTGCTGCCCATGTGGTAGTACTGAACACCTCATCCTCTCCCTAGCTGGCCTGAGAGGCATCTCCCTTACCAAAGGGGCCGATACAGGAGCAACCACACCGAACTGAATGAAGTCATAAAAGGTTTCCTAAGGGGCTGCTGGAAGTTTCTTTGGCCATAAAAAGGGTTTTCTCCCAACTCTGAAATACTCTGGGGCATTTGCAGCCTGAAATCAGTCATTTCTGCCATATTCCCACGAGCTCAATTACATAAACGCTGAGGATGGAGCCGGAAGAATGAATGTCCTGGATGAGTACAGCATCAATCCCTCTACTCCCCAAACCCGTGGCTAGACCAGGGAGATCAAACCTGCAATGGGATGTCTGTGTGAGGTGCCAGGCCAAGAGATAGGAAGATGTCCTTATGTGAGCCTCAATGCCAGACTGCTGAAAGGTAGAAGAGAAAGTCAGGTCACGTAGATCTCTGAACCTTAAGCTCCCTGAAGACTGCTGTGTGGCTCAGGGTGGGGACGGTCCCCACAGCAGATGAAGGAACTTCTTCTCCATTCCTCCTTACATTTGACTTCACACAAGATGTCCAAGGTTGTCTGTCCCGTGAACACAATGCTGACTCTGCCAGGGTCCACATGCAAGATTCCCTGCTGTTCAATGTCCTGTCTGAGGTGAAGTCAATGCACAGGCCCGTCAGGTCCAAGCACAGCACTCCAAAGGAAGGATGACAGCAGAAAAGCAGCCAGTGCAGACGTGTATCTCCCACAGAGAAGAAGCTCTGCCACATCTGCCTGGTGCACCTCCCTGGCCTCCTGATGAGGACAAAAGGAAACAAACTTCTTGGTCCCCATGGAAGACACAGCACAATGCTTGCTTTCTCCATTCACTGATCATTGGTGATGCTGGGTGATGTACTCTTGGTGGCACTTAATGGAAGGTGACTCTGGGCAATTTTATTACTTTATCCCTGAACTTAACTTTCAGCATCTAGAAGATGGAGAGGAGAATAGCACCCATTCCATAATTAGGTTTAAAGAAAAACACTTTAGTCAGGGCGCTGCATATGTCAACAACGGCTAGCAACTATTACTTAAAACACTTTCACCCAAAGAGATGGAAGGTTTAATATAGAAAATAGGAGATTTTAGCCACTGGTACTGGCTCCTGACACACAAGCAGCTTCCACCTGCTTATCCAAAACTCATCGTAAGTGGTCCTCAATTATCTGCAGGTGATTAATTCAGACCAACTTGGCAGATGCAAAACTGATCAAGAACAGGAACAGAACAAAAAAGTTTAATCTTGCAACTTGATAGACTTGGAGGCGTTATGGTCAATGTAGAAGACCTTGCGGGCCTCATAGGAGAAGCCCAGGCCAGTCCCATGATTGTACTTCCAGCTCATGGCCCGGTCATAGTCCTGCTGGAGATTCTGCTGGAGCATGTCTGAAGACTTCTTGTCCAGGTCCATGTTGGACCTGCTAGACATGCTGGGAGGACGGCTGAATGATGGGGAAAGATGCTTAAAGCCACCCATAAGCTTCAGGAATTTCAGCTTCTGTTCTTCGTTTTTCAAAGCCAGCAGTGTCCCACTGGCCAAACTGGGTTCCCGTACACTTCTTGGGTTCTGAAGCCTCTGTCTTGCCCGACTCATGATCAATCTCTTCTTGCAAGGCCTCCCGCCTCACCTGATCTATGCAGGCCTCATCAATGTTGCCTTTTTTTCCAGTACCACCTCCAGGTCTGTGTCCGACTCCTCTTCTTCCTCCTGCCCAGAGTCTTCCTTTACTTCACTCTCTTTCCTCTTCTTTTTCCTCCTTCTCACAGCCAGCCCTTCACCATCCGGCTGGTCCACCTTTTTCTTGGGTTTGCCTTTCTTCCCAGAGGCCTTTGGGCTGTCTATAGGGATATAGTCCAAAGCTTCACTTCTGACTGACTTCTTACTTCCTTTCTTCAGGCCGTTCTCCATGGAGAGCTTGGAGTGGACTGGGAGGATATCTCCCTCTTGGTGGCTCTTCTTCTTCTTCTTCATGCTGTGCTCTCTGGATCTCCCCTGTTTCCTTTTGTGCCCCAAGGCTGCCTGCTCCCCGGCCTCTGCCCACTCTGAGCATGGGTGCAGAGCATCCCCAGTCTCACAGAGCCAAGGGTCCTGGGGAGGAAAGGCTTCAGTGTTCAGAACCTTTTTTTCTTTCCTGTGTTTTTTGGACTTCTTACCAGCTTTGCTTACCTTTTCAGCATGCTTGGCGTCTAGGGAGGTCTTCAACCCTGAGCACCGGGAGGTAGCCTGTGGTAAGGACTTCCTCTTCTTCTTTTTCTTCTCTCCACTGAGGCATTCTGTTGACTGCTCACGGACCTGCCTTTTAGGGCCGGGGGACTTTTTCCATCCTGCTCCTGTGGCCTCAGACTCCAGGAGCTCCCCCAAGTGAGCACTAGGGGACTTTTTTTTCTTCTTTCTCTTGCCCAGTGGCATCTCAGAGACCTGCCCTTCACCCACATTGTTAGAGGGGGATGTGGCCCTTGGAGGAGAGCCATCGACAAAATAATCATTACTGTTTAAGACTGAGTATTGAGTCTCTGGATCTGTGACCTCTGCAGCCACCTTCTTTTCTTCTTCTTTTTCTTCTTCTCTGGGAGCTGGGGACCCAGGTCTACTTTCTGAGTCGTGGTAACCATTCCTGGTCCACCCACTGGCCAGGCCTCGTAACTGTGTTTTTTTTTTCATTTTTGTTTTATCCTTTTCTTTTAATTAGAAAGCTTTTCTTGTTTTTTATTTTCTTTTTTGTTTTTGCATTTTATTTATTTATTTATGTGGGGGTACACATATATGCACTTATAGAGTTCAGAGAATAACTTGTGACAATTGTTCTTTTTTTCTACCATGTGAGTGCCCATCAGGTTTGGCTGTAGGTTCCTTTACCCACTGAATGAACTCATTGGCCAAGTTTTCTTCTTTAACCTTTTTTTTTTAAATGCAGTGTATATATTGTATATGTGTGTGGCCAGAGAAGGATGTTGAGTATCATATTCTATGACACACCTGCTTTATTCCCTTGGGACAAAGTCTCTCACTAAACCTAAAGTAAGGCTGGCAGCTAGTCAACCCCAGTGATTCCCTTATCTCTCCCATAGCCCCCAACATTCTTATGTGGGTACTAGAGATTCAGAGTCAGGGTCTTATACTTGGGAATTCATCTTTACTCTTTGATCAATCTCTCTAGCTCCTTTTTGAATTTTTTGGAACTCATTAAATAGCTTTAAACTTGTTGCAGTCTTCCTGCTACGCCTTTCAACTCTGTAATTCTGTGCCACTCTGTCTGGTGTTGATACTGTTTTAATGCACATTTGGAATGTGACAAAAAGATTATATCCCATAGCTAACCCATACACTTCTAGTTTGCTTCTCTGATGATGTGTTTAAACATTTACCAAAAGCAACTCAGGGAAGAAAGGGCTTATGTGGTTTATAAGTTACAGTCCATCTTGGGGGGAAATCAGGACATGTTGGGGGCACAAAGGTCCTTATATCCCCAGAGCAGTAGGGAGCCATGAATGTTAAGCACATAGGGGCCTCTCTGCAATGGATGAGATAAAATATCTGTTTTCCTTATCAGAAGGCTAAGAGTGGATATTGTTAATGACCTGGTGACCTTTGTGCTATTTGTGGAGGCAGACATTATCCATCTTTTGCTACAGAGGTAGACCTCACCCAAATTCCCCAGAATGTTTATCACAGACTCTAGCTCTCAGTTATTAGAATTCATCCTTAGGGGAGATGCCACATGCACTTTTTGGCCTACTGACTTCTATGCTTTTTGGCCTACTGACCTCAGAGACCACACTAGATTCTGGGCCTTTTAGCTATAGAACCCAACCTCATGGTCACATGTACTTTGTAAAGGAGTTTCTAAGTAGTCATACCTTAAGCTTTATACAGCCCAGGTCTATCTGCAGAAGGATAGTACTACACACTGTGAGCTGGGCACTCCTATATCAATTGCCAATAAAAAAAAGTGCCCCACAGACATGCCCACATACTAATCTGCTAGAAGTAGTTATAACAGAATCATAATTGTTCCTCTTCCTATGTGTGTAAAACTAACAGCCCAGAGTAGACATCACATATTTTATATTCACATACACACTCAAGATAAATAAAATGAATAAAAAGCAGAGAAAGTTATAAGCTCAATATGAACCAGAAAGGAAAGGCTATTTCTACATGTACAGAGAGCCAGAGAAATATTATCTTCTTTCTGATAGAATAAATACTCATATCCTGAAGACTCAGCACCATATTAAGAGAACCTAGAGGTGATGTTTGATTCACAAATCATTGGTCATAGCAGAACCCTAGTGAGTGGTTTCTTTAAACGGTAAGTGTAACATGAACCTTAAAAGGTCTTATAATAGAAAACCCAGAGCCTGATATTAGGGTGAAAGCTGAAAGATCAGAGAAGCAGAACATCCAGCCACCAGCTTACCTCAAGGAAATCCTCAGCCTCAAGAAAGCAAGTTCTTATTTCCTCACACCTTATATACCTTTCTGTGTCCTGTCATATTACTTCCTGGGATTAAAGGTGTGTGTCACCACTGCCTGGTTCTGTTTCTCTCATGTAGCCCAGTGTGGCCTTGAACTCACAGAAATCCAGATGGATTTCTGCCTCCTGAGTGATAGGATTACAGTTGTGTGCCACCACTACCTGACCTCTATGTCTAATTTAGTGGCTTTGATCCTCAGGTAAGCATTATTGGGGTATACAATATATCACCACATTTCTCCTTTTTTGTCTAAAATAATAAAAGGTTATAACTAATGTAAGAAAAACTATATACAAATAAATACAGTAAGTATATACAATATATACAGGCAATAAATACATCAACAATGTCTAGTCCATTTGCATTTGGCAAATTCAGAGAAGATACTCTATTATTTATCCTATCTTTGCAAATCCAAAATATTGTACCTAATTCACCTTCTATCCTAATTTGCATTACCAACCAAAAACTATCTTTTGATGTCTTTCAAACTTATACATTTTACACCTCTTTAGTGAGTTTCTTTTCTGAATTTGTTAACAAGGAAAACTCTAACTATAAATATCTAATCTTCAACTTCCTCAGAGACCTGAGAAAGAAATAATACTAACTGAGTAAGCAGGAAGTGCAAACAAGCTACTTCTAAAAAATGTGAGAAATGACAAAAACAGCAGGCTGCCTGGAGAGTCACCCAAAGATCCTCTGCAATGTTGGGGGATCCATCTTCAGGCCTAGCATACCTGACAGACTTATGTGAAGCAGGATTTTCTGAAGGACTGTCTTACTTTGTCTTGGCAAGGTGCAGCAGACCTTTCTTTTGTGTCCTGCTTGTCCATGTTGAACACCATACTGTCAGCAGACGATGTAAGGGTACATTCTTTCCCAGTGGCTAACTTTTGCCACAAAGAAAGTAAATTCCATGTAGAGTTCCTTCAGTGTCCATCATCTTCCCTGAGGTAGATTGGAACTGCCAGGAGCAGACATGTCTCATCATCAGAAAAAAGAAAAAAAATCTGTTATTAAAACATCTTAAATACCATATTCTATAGATCTCTAAAGTGTTTGAAGATGACTGGTATATCCAAAATATATTTCTGATGAACCTTGAAAACATACGTAATATGACTACAAGTTTGATTATAATGACTATTAACTTGCATTTCTTATATCCTAATAAGTTGGTAATAATAATTTTCAAAAATTAGCAATTTACATTACATTGTTATGAACTGTATAGGTACAGTACTTTGACCAAGATTATAAACATATGTGCAGTATTTTCTAACAAAATCAATCTCAAATTTGTATCAATATGTATACTTTGTATACAAAATACAAAAATCCAATCCAATGTAAAATATTTTAAAATAATAGTTGCTTTTTAAAAGTAGATTCAATAATTTACATTTTATCTTATCATATCTATATCCTTCCCTTTTTCTTTTTAGAGTAGATTCAATAATCTACCCTTTTATCCTATTATTTCTATATCTCTTTTTTAGAGTAGATTCAATAATCTACCTCTTATCTATATTCTTTTTATCATTTGTTTTTCAAACAAGAACCTTGAATCTAATCTCATTGGTAACTTTTTTTCCTGACCATTATCAATGAACAACTTTAACCAACCATCCTAAATAATGACAATTATTGATAACCCATTGAAAGACCAGAAACCACTCACACCACCTCTTGGGAATGTGGGTGTTGTTTTCTTAAATTTACTTCCTGTTGTCTGGGAGTGAAAGCATCTTTAGGGGATCATAAAAAGGAAATTTTTGGATTAATTATCAAGTTCTGGGAGAGGTACCTGTATCATTGGTTGTCTAGTCTCTGCACAATGGGAAAATGCAGGGCTTGTCTTAGGTCCTTGCTCAAGTAGTCTGTGAGGCGGGGTCATCTCAGCTAACCACCTCGATATTGTCTTGAGCAGTTTGTAGTCCAAAACCAATCTTTGGGTGCTGTTTGTAAGCTTAGTGGTGTTATCCTCGTCTTGATGGAATCATCATTGTGGGGCTTGTCATCTATTTGGAGACTTTAAAGTTGCTGTTAGGCATGGTCATGGTTCCCTGCAGAAAACTGATAGAGACTCAAACCCAAAATCATGCACAGGAAACTAGATAAAGCCTTTTTTTCTAGAATTAGTTAGTACTCTATACGTCCATTAACATCATGACAAAAATTATATAATGTATATATTATAGATAGATAGATAGATAGATAGACAGATAGATAGATAGATAGATTGAATCTTATAAATTTTCGTGTAAAATTCATATTTTACAAATGTTTTAAAGAGTCAAAATGAAACCAAAGAATTATGAGATTAGTGGCAATTAAAAATAGTCTCTTAATTTTGGTTTTGCTTCTGTCCCATATAAGGTGGCTCTTCCGACATGATGCAGAGATTTTTCATTTTCCTTTAACAACATGCTTGGGTTTAGAGAAAGAGAGAGCCATGCCCCTACTCCAAAGCCCACTTTAATTTTTAATTGAACTGGGTACTACATAAAGACCATTTGCATTATGTGCCTGTAGAGAACAGCAGAAAGAAACATTTAGGAAGACTTATGAAATTTTATCCTGTTAGATATGTGATATACCAATAGGCTAATTTAATCTTTTTCTTGGGACATTTTTTTTTCTGGATGATTTGTCCTTTTTCTTCAGGTGTCTCATTTGACCAGTGTTCTTCAGATTCCTTAGTCTTCATTCTCCTGAAAGACAAAAACAAAAACCTAGCTTTGTTTTCATCAACCATAACTTTAGGGGGGTTCACTTTTGGCAAGCTATATCTGATTAAATAAAAAGCACTTATTAGTGGTATAAGTTAGGTTAAATTGAATGGTCATGTTGGTTTAAGAACTATCACCTCTTCTAATTAAGAAGTCTCTCTTGTTCAAATTGAACCTTTATCAATTTTGATGGTATCCATACTTTTCTTCTCCTGTAGAAACAACAACAAAACCTCATCCTCAATGTAATACATATCCTGGTTTCCATTCTGAGGTCAGTGCATCTTTAAAGTATACAAGTTGATTTAATTCTGTAGTTGTTTCTATTATCTAACATCTCTAATATCCACAGGTAAGAGGACTGTAAGTTTTGTTTTGTTTTGTTTTGTTTGGTTTGGTTTTGTT